GAAGGGACTCACTTAAAAAGCAGGTTCAAATAGTAAAACTCTAGCTGAGTCTTCTTGAAAGCAATAGCAGACATCAGATTGAAAGAGAACGGAGAAGAATATCCCAATAGTGTAGGAAATTCAAAAGCTAAGGAAAAACAATGTTTGTGGATGAGCACCTGGCAAAGGTATTGGTTTTCACCAGGTTTGTAGGGCACAGACCTTAAAAGCATCTAGAATCTGCTGAGGGTCACTCTCTAGCCAAGCCTTCTTAGATGGTGGGTGAGGTTTGACTCAGGAATTATCTTGGAATATTGTGGGCAATAGGAAATAAGAAGACTGGACATGTAAGGCATAGATTATGGAGGACTTTAGCAGACAGCCAGCGGTGTTAAAGTTAATGTATATTCTGAGGAGTATTTTTATTAAAATAAGAGGTAAAGAAAATCCAAATTATATTAATAGTGTTAGGAACAGAGAAGAAGGGATACAATGGGAAAAAAAATAAACATATGATTCATTATGGAAAGGGGGATGGGGGAGACATATATTTATTTTATTTCATCTAACAATTCAGAAAAGGAATACAAATTGCTAAGGCATCGAGCCTGGAGATGATGATGGTGGTGTTCTAGACAGAAACGGGGAACACAGCAGGAGTGTGAAGAGAAAGGTCAGAGTTAGAGATGGAGAATTTGGAAACTTCTGCGTAGAAAGGGTCTTCGAAATTAAAGGATAACAGAATTGCTAAGCCAGGTGTTAAACAGTGAACTTGGAAGAAGGTGAAGGCCGAGGTTCTAGGGGCCCCCATAGGCCAACGCCCTTTCCCCCTCCCACTACCTGTTTTTGTAAGCAGTTTTATTCAAACACAGTCTTGACCCTTCATTCATATATTGTCTATGGCTGCTTTTGTGTTATGATGGCAAAGTTAAGTAGTTGAGACAGAGACCAAATGGCTTGCAAAACCGAAATATTTACTATCTGACCCTTTATAGAAAAAGTTTGCCAACCCCAGTTCTAAACGATCAAAGAGAAAGAGCTACAGAATGGATAAATCAATGAGGCACCCTGAAACCAAGATTGCATGGGCATAAGGAAGTCAAGAGAGAAGAGGGTTTCAAAGGAGTAGATAAAAAGAAACAATACAGTGGATACGAGGAGGAGGAGGCTTGGGGGGAAAAATTGAATGTTAGGACTAGGAAGTAAATGTCATTCCAAAATGTCAATTACCAGGTGGACCAAAACCTAACAAAAAATACTCGAGATATATTTCTTCCTTCCTCCCATCCTTCCCTACTTCTTTAGTATTAAAAGATTATTTAAACATGTAACACTGTTTAAATGCTGTTGGAAGATACCTAAAGACAAGATGCACATCCAAAGAAAGTCCAATAATAAGACAGTACTAGAGATGAAATGAGATAACATATGTGAAAGTATAGAAAGCTATGTGAAATTAAGGTATTTCACATTGAGGCCATAAATTACCACAAGCCAAATACCTGGTTTGAACTCAGTACTTTGCATTCAGAAGTCATTGTCGATAAAATGTCAAAGTAGGCTTTGAGAAATTTGAGATTATAGTTTAGTGCAAACGGCAGAGGCAAATTCTTAACCACCTTTGCCCAACTTTGGAGCAATTACTTAATTTCTCTCAATTTCACTTGTTCATCTCTAAAACTGGGATAATCAGCACCCATTCTAGAGAGTATTATGAAGATGAAATGTAAAGCAGCTCATGTGATATTTGACATATAGCCGGTACTTTGCGAATAGTAACTATTTTTACGGAGCTGGTACAAATCTCAATTCATAAACTCAGGTGTACAAGAAATATCGAAATCACTTATTGTCTTCAAGTCCATTTTATTAGGATCCTGAGCCCCATCCTACCAGGCTGGTAGAACATTTAACCATAGATATTCTTAGGGCTTCCACCCTCATCTCCGGGTGGTGCAGAGGTCCCTGCGAGGCTTTATTGATCATCGTTATCTTGTCACCTAGTTACCGCGGAGATACCCTGGACCCCTGTCCAAGTGCTCCCTCCAATCAGAGCAGTCAGGTGTGGCTTGAAGCCTTTGGTGAGACCAAGAACCTGAGTCAGGGATCCAGCTTCCCTTGGTGCCTCACCCAGACAAGCCACCTGAGCACTGCCATCCAGCAGAGTGCAGGTGTTCCCCCTTCCCAACCCAGAGGCTTCTCTTCTCCAGTCCCAGAGCATCTCTCTCTGAGCCCTCCAAATCCTCGCCCCATGCACCTGCCGAGACACATGATTCCACTTTGATATCATATGGTAGTGCCAATATTTTACCTTTTTTTGCCTACAAAAATGACTGTCTTATATAGTTCAAACGAATGACTATTCAATAGATTTAGTTTTTTCTTTTTTTCCTTTTTTTGTAAGTCTAAGAGGGCAACTGACTTCAGTCTATTTGTCCTTTTCAGATAGCAAAAATCCCTGAGGCAAGTAAACAGAAATAGACTACTTTATTCCAGGGCAAGGGAAAATAGAGAAAAATAAAAAATAACGTTTCATTGAAGTATCTTGACACATTTATATGGTAATAAAAATAATAATACTTATTACTTTTATTATAACCATTCCTCATACCCATCCTCCTTTCTCCAGCTGCATTGTCATTGCATGATTCATGGGGCCTTAGATTCTTCATGCTCTGTTGATTATCTAGCTTTACTCCCACTTTCCTTACACCAGTCACACTTCAGCCATGCCACCCCATCAGCAGCTACCTGTCTTCTCACCCTTGTACCAACTCTTCTGTCTTCCTGGAAAGTACCTCCCCCGCCTCAGCCTTGTCATGCTGATAAACTTCCACTCCTCCTTACAGTCTTAGCCGAGACGTGATCTTGTCTGTGTTCTCCCCTAAAATTTAAAGCCTCATCTTCTGTATTTCCACGGTACCTTAGACTTAAGGTACTTAGACTTAAGGTGATCAAATAGTTTGTCATCTAAACTGGGACACTTTTAAGAGTGAAAGAAGAGGCTGCTAATAATTACACCAGAACAACAGGCATAAAGCAGGACTGCCCCTGACAAACCAGGATGTATGGTTACCCCACTTATCCTTACATTGCTGTAACGATTGTTTACATGCCTATCATTCCCTCCCCCTACAAAACACACTCACACACACAGACAGTGAATCCCTGGAAGGTGTAGGCCTCAGTATGTGGTGTAATGACTGTTGACACATTAATTGATTGACTAAATCATAGGAATTTTATTGAAGGAGAACATTCTAGACTAATGAAATGGCATACACAAACAAAAGGAGTTGGGAGGGAACATTTATAAGGAAAGCAAGTAAACCAGTCTGGGGGGAACAGATGTTTGGCGATTGTAATACAATTTGGGGAAACTTAATTGTCAGGCTAAGGAATTTCTAGCAAAGTGGAGGAAGAAGGAAAGGTTTAAACATGGGTGAATGACGCGAAGGATAATTGATGGTTGAATGTAAAATGGATTAGAGACAAGGAAAGGCAGAGAGAACTAACTGGATTATTTGGATAAACGACGAAATTATGATGCCTGGACTAGGGCTCTGTCATTTGACCTTTTGTGCTTGATGAAAAAGTGAGAGCCCTTTAGATTACAAGGGACAGAAACCCAAATTAGCCTGGTTTAACCGAAAAGGGAAATTTATCAGCTCAGCTAACATAAATATACAGGCATTGCTGAATCCAGGTTCTCAAACGATGTCATCTCATCAGGAATGTTCTCTTCATCTCTTGGTTCTACTTCTTACTGTATCTGATTCATTCTCAGACACTTCTCCCCAAAATGGCCATGAGTAACTTCCAGCCTACTTTCTACCAGTTTAGCAACCCTAGTAGAAAGAGAATATCAATTACCAATAGTTCCAGCAAACATCCTGAGGAAGTTTCTCTAGATCATGAAAATCAAATCACAGAAAGAAAATTATCAAAAGGAAACATAAAAGTAATGAGCTTCCAAATGATCGAGAAAAAGAAAGGTACTCTTTCCAAAATAATCTAGATTACATTTTTTCAAGATAATCAAAATGTGGGACAAGATATGAGAGTCATTATCTTTAATTCAATAAATAGCTTTACATATTATGATACTAGACATCATGCTAATTATCTAACCAAAGTAGAAGTTATTATTTCACCTTTCCAGTCCAACCTATAGGCGCAACGATATAGAAACTTCTGATTACTGATCTTTGAAGAAGTCATTAGGGCCAGAGGAGGGCTGAAGAGGGCAGTGAAAATGGCGCTATCTTTGTGCGAATTCCTATATAGTTTTATTGAGAAGCCAATTGATAAACCTCTTTATTCTGAAATGATGAGATCAATGGGTTTGAGAAACATCTATGAATTTATTTGTAGAATTGATAGCATAATTCTGAGAACAGTATAAATGTGAATTTTCCATGAAATTTATGTTCTGAATAAAGAATATGATGATGTTCAGAACACAAATCCCAAAGAGAGATACAAAGATTCGACTAGTTTTAAATAGATTTCAGATAACAAAAGAATATGTATAAGATAATTCTATTTTGTGTTCACATTATACATACATATATTCATTTATGTATATTTGTATATAATACAAATGAAATACTGCACCAAATATAGTGACTATCACTGGTTGGTAGGATTTGGTAGAATTTTAGTTTTCTTGGTTGTCTGGAGTTTTTACAATTTCTAAAATGAATGTATATTACTTTTAAATGAGAAAAGGAATCAAAAAAACTTTCTTTAAGAGAAAAGAGAATTCTGACATAAAGGGAAACTAGCATTGCCCTTTGAAATGATGTCATTGTGGTCCTTTTCACAATTTTTCCCCCCACAAATACCCATGAGTATCTCAGAAACAATATTGGGTTACATGGACCATTGATCTAAAAGAATGTGGCATTTCTTTTATTATGTAAATATTAAATACATTTTTACGGCATTATGCTAGGGTAAGGGATAAGAATTTAATCATATTCACTGATACCTACTAAATCATTTTTATTCTTTTTAAGAATGCACCTTTCAAGATCAAGGTTCTGAAACAGAAAATAATCTGAACCAAGGATCCAGCTTGATGGAAGCCATCTTTAACGTACTGTACCATTGCAATTTTTCTCCACAAACATTTGGAAATGTTTTTGTGAGCTACATGGAAGAAGAGCAACTATGGGACTTTTTATATAACATTCCAGGTATGAGAAATTTACTGTTTGTAAAAAAGTGTTTTATAGGTACTTAAATATATCTTTAAAGATGTTTTAAAGTTTTATTGATGTCAGTTTTGCTGTCTGTTCTTTGTAAAAGTATATCTTATGTTTTTTCTCAGTATAAATAGTCTTCTTTTGAGAATCATCAACCTTTAGTTCCTATCAAAATTTAGTATATTTGGGACAGGGTGAGGGGGGAAATTATGTAATGCAGATTTTCTCCTTTTTTCATTATGAGTAAGTGTTCTCTTATAAAAATTTAATTTAATATTTACCACAGATTATGTTTTGCTATTGAGAGTTTAAGACATTAAGTAAGATGTGAAAAAATATTTTGTGGTTCTTGGGTGCTTTTATTAACTAAACTGAGGAGAAAACTACTGGTCAATTTTCTTCAACTGTATAAGGCATTTATTATTATGACCGTGGTGCCTCTCTCTGTACAAGGCAAGCATGTTCTAGCATTCCTTTGGGGACAATATGTTTTTTCCATCTGTACTGTTCTTCTGCCTATAGCTAGAGCAGAGGGTAAAGACAGAGCAGGTTGGGTATCTGAGTAGGAAGTGTTCATGGGTTCCCTCACCGTCAGGACCAGGTATAAAGATTCTCACATTGTTTCATCCTTAATATCTTGCCTTTAAATCTCCACATGTAATATCTCAGGAAAGTGAAAGATGAGTACTTAGACAATGGTTATCTTGTTAGTCCACTAACTGTTTACATTATTTACAGTTGGCTTTCAACCTATAAGCTTTCTTATGTGCTGTTTTGGAACTGACATTTTCATAAAATATTTCCTAGGATCCATATAAAAAATATAACTGGCTCATAATCATGGTTTCATTCTTCCTGGACTTTCAGACTATCCTCCAGACATTACTTGAATATCTTCTTAGCTATTTTAGAGTCATTATGTTACATCTTCTCTTGGGTCATTATCCCTGCAAAATAGCAATAGATAACTTTATGTGATGATATCAAAAATCTGAATCTATCACTTAAAGACTCTATAATAATTATTTCCTTTTAAAGTTTTATCTCCTAGTTTCCATGTATTCTCTGACTGCTTCCTTTTTACCCAAAGGAGAGGCAGTTTTTGTTAAAAAGACTGAATTACTTCTGATGTAGACTTTATTGAATTGAAAGAAAAACAACCTTGAAAGCCCCTCCACCTGCTATTGTTGTTTGTTGTTTCTGGTGAAGTACAAGCCAAATTCTCTGGTGAGATTATAGAGAATTGGTGACCTGCATGCTTCAACCACTATTTATCTGTGGACTCTGAAGTTCTTGAACCATTTTGACACTCAGCACAAAGAAAATGACCTGGGAGATATCAATGGATTTCAGGTGGTGGCAGGAGAAAGAAAAACTGCTACTTGCTCCTAATTAGTCTTCTCTTTGTCTACACATTGAGCAAACCCTCCCCCATAAGGTCAGACAAGTCTCTTGAGACAGGCATTACACGTATTCATAGAGCCTGAATTGTATGGGGAGGCTCAAAGGAACAGAACTTCAAACCAGTGAAATGTCCTTGGCCTTTGTACAAGTTGTTTCGCTATAAACATGAAACATTCTCTGGGTCTTGAGTATTCTCTGGAACCTAAGGCCTTGTAGTGAGCCTGAGGGACTGTGTCTGTCTTTTCTCTGCTATTTAAGTCTGCAAAACTTTTCCTTTTCTTCTTTACCAATCATGGTTATCTTAAAAATCCTATAATATGTTAATTCATAAGAAAATTAAGCCTTTTACTCTGGTTTCTGTTTAACATGAAAATATAACAGGTTTAAAGGAAATACAGCTGAGACACATAATCATAATCCCACAATAATTTGCATCTTACCACTAACAGATCTATGCTTCAGTAAGTATAATTAACCTACCCAGATCAACTGGAGCACATTATTTAAAAACTGGTGTGTTTTCTTCCTCCTGAAACGCTGTCAATGATTTCACTATAGCTTATCCATAAAACATCACAGTCTTATCGTTTTGGAGTAGAAAAGCAATGATGAAGTAGCCAGTATCCTCATCTTATTGCTGAGTAAACCAAGGTCAGAGATGTAAAGAGACTTGCCTAAGATTGTCCGCTGATTAAATTGAAGAATCAGACAAGAAACAAGAATTTCTGACTCATAGGCCAAGTTATTTCTCTTTATTTTTTTCTATTAGACTAAATTTTTTAAACATTTGCTTTATGAACATATGAATTCAGCAATGAAATATATACAATCTGATTTTATAATTAGAAATCCAACACATAACTCCTTAGAGTGAACATAAGCTAGGGGGGAAAGCAAGAGTGAAAATATCCATTAAGAAAAGATTACAAAAGAAAGAGATACAAAAAACAATTAAGTTGGGGACCGCGTGGGCATTTCAAAGGCCAATACACTGTAAGCAATGGATTTGGTAGCAATCATTGCAGGCCTATATCCTCAAAGTAGGTCAAGTGATCTTCAGTTGGGCAAATGGAAATATCAAAGCATAACTTACCTTGACTGTTCTTCACTCACTCTATTCCTTGACTCCCCTTTTCTTTTAACACTCCCTGTGAGTAAAACTTTATAGGAAACTATTAAACTGTTTTTCAAAGTAATCATGTCTTTTTTCATTCCCACCAGTAATGTATGAGAGTTTCGGTTGCTATACACCCTTGCCACCACTTGGAATTGTCTTTTTGATTTTAGTCATTCTCAGGGGTAATGTTGTACTATCTCATTGTGGTTCTAATTTATAACTCCCTGGTGATTAATGACATCAAATACCTCTTCATGTTCTTAATGGTCATTTTTAAAAATTCTTTTGTAAAGTATCTGTTCAAAACTTTTCTTCATATATTAATTGGATTGTTTGTCTTATTGAGTTGTAAAGAGTTCCTTATATATTCTTGACACAAGTTATTTGTCAGATACATGTATCGATAAAATTTTCCCCCAGTCTGTGGCTTACTTTTTCATTTCTTTAACAAGGTCTTTTGATAGGGAGAAGTTTGTAATTGTGATGAGTCCAACTTATCAATTTTCTTTATAATAGTGCTTTTCATGTTCTAAGAACTATTTTCTATCTAAAGAGTGCCAAGATTTCTTCTGGAAATTTTATAGTTCTAGTTTTTATGTTTAATTCTATGATTGATTTCAAGTTTATTTTTTTTTGTACAGTGTGAGTGTTGAAATTCATACTTTTTCATATGAATATATAATTTTTCCAGTACCATTTTTGGTAATCACTATTCTTTCCCTGTTGAATTACTTCAATCCCTTTGTCAGAAATCAAATGACCAATTGATCAAATGCGTGCATCTATTTGTGAACTCTCTATTCTGATACATGGAACTACATGTCTATATTGTTGTTTGCTTTGTGTTTGTCCCTTCTAATCTTTTTTCCTTTTTCTCCCTATTTTGGTTTTCTATTGGATTAACTGAGTATTTTTCAGTATTACATTTTATCTTTGCTAATGGCTTATTAGCCAGCTCTGGTGGTCTAGTGGTCAGGAGTCTTACAAATTTGTACTTCCTTTTGCAAGAAAAATAGATCCAGTCCAGCTTTTACCTATAGTCTCCTTAACACTCTTCTCACGTAATAAAACAAAAGGTCTCAAAACAGCTAAGGTCAGGGGATAAACTAAAGAGTAATTAATGGCTCCATCCCTTCAGGAACTTAGACACTGCTTTTAGAACTTGGCCACTGCTTTTGTAATGGTATATTCTATTAGAAAAGATTGAATTGTTAGTATATACTATATCTGTATTTTTCTATACCTTCTTTCTCTGATTGTTCTAGGCTAAGATAGTTGTTACACTTAATTTTGCATCCACTGACAGGATCAGTAATCATGATCTAAAGACAGGTAGAATTATGGGCAGACAGAACCACCATGTTGGGAATAAATTCTCACAATGCGCTGAAAGTCCCTACATAACAGGGAGGTTTGCTGTTCCCTTTGGAGGGGCCCACACAGCAAATATCACCTTGCTTCACGTAACGAAAGAAACCTAACTGGCTGCAAATAGTGGAGATAGAGTCACTTTAGCCAGCCCTGATTTGGAGCACGACCAGGGCCTGGGTTTGTTTCCAGGTCAGGAAACCACACCACCTGTCTGTTGTCTGTCATATTGCGGTGGCTGTCGTATTGTGATGCTGAAAGCTATGCCACCAGTATTTCAAATACCAGCAGGGTCACCCATGGTGGACAGGTTTCAACAGAGCTTCCGGACTAAGACAGACTAGGAAGAAAGACCTGGTCACTCACTTCTGAAAAAAATTGACCGTGAAAACCCTATGACTAGCAGTGGAGCATTGTCTGTTATAGTGCCGGAAGGTGAGAGGATGGCACAAAAAGACCAGGCAGGGTTGTTTGTTTGTTCCATCATCTCTGTCATTTTGGGGTATGTTTCTATTTGCTGATTTTTCTCCTGATTATGGATCACCAGTTTTTGGTTTTGTTTTGTTTTTTGCATATATGGTAATTTTTGATTGAATGCCAGACTTTATGAATGTTATGTTGTTGAGTGTCTAAATTTTGTTTTCATCCTTTACAGATTTTTTTCTCACTATTAGTTGTGCTACTTGCAGATTTTCTAATGTTGAACCAGCCTTGCATATCTTGGATAAATCCAACTTGCTTATGATATATAATTCTTTTTATACATTGTTGGATTCAGTTTGCTAATATTTAGTTTAGGATTTTTGCATCTATGTTCATGAGACACATCAGTCAGTAGTTTTCTTTTCTTGTGATGCCTTTGTCTGGTTTTGCTAATCAGGTAATAGTGGCCTCAGAAGGAGTTGGGAAGTAGTCCTTCTGTTTCTATGTTCTGAATGAGGTTGTAGAGAATTGGTATAATTTCCTCCTTAAATGTTTGGTAGAAATCACCAGTGAATCCATCTAGGCCTGGGGCTTTCTGTTTTGGAAGGTTATTCATTATTTATTCTGTTTCTTTAATAGATATCAGATTGCTTCTTCTTGTGTGAGTTATGGCAGGTTG